TTATTTGGGGTTCTACATCTTAGATTTGGAAACTGTTTAGTCTGACTCAAGAATTTTATTAGAAAATAAATACATGAAAACTGAGTGTGAGCCAAGCCTTTGAGTAGTGCAAGCCTTTGATCCCAGCACTCAGGAGGCAGAGGCTATGAGTTTGAGGCCAGCCTGGTCTACAGAGCCAGGCTAGCTGAGAAAACCTATGTCAAAAAAGAAAGAAAGAGAGGAGGGAGGGAGGGAAGGAGGCAGAGAGGAAGGGAGAGAGGAAGGTAGGAAGGAAGGGAAAGGAATAATGAAAGGAAAAAAAAAACAAACAAAAAAAAAAAAAAAAAAAAAAAACCAAATATGCTTTGATCCCAGCACTCAGGAGGCAGGAGGAGGTGGATCTCTGAGTTTGAGGCCAGCTGGGTCTACAGACTGAGTTTCAGGACAGCCAGGGCTACACAGGGAAACCTGTCTCAAAACAAACCAAAAACAAATGAAAATAAAAACCAGAGAGAGATGGAGATGGGAGTTGCTTTCCTGTGTTTATTTCACCCTCATTTTCAATGAGGACAGTTAGAAACGTGGATCTGAAGTGTTGACTGAGGCCATACCTCGTAGCCCTGGCTAGTCTGGAACTCTAAGTCAGAAAGATCTGCCAGCCTCTGCCTTCAGCATATGCCACCATGCTTGGGCAGGAGTGGGGACTCTTACATCAAGTTCTTGGGTCCCAGTCCCATATGAAGTTTGTGCTTTTGGATAATCAGTCTCTTTTGCCTTTGGTGACCTCATGTCCACAACATGGATAAATGAATAAGAACAGCACTGATTGCTTGGGACTTTAAGGGAATTAATGGATCAATAGCTGTGGTGTTCTTTTCTTTTTGGTTTTTCAAGGTAGGGTTTCTGTGTGGCTTTGGATCCCATCCTGGAACTCGCTCTGTAGACCAGGCTGGCCTCGAACTCACAGAGATCCACCTGCTTCTGCCTCCCGAGTGCTGGGATCAAAGGTATGTGCCACCACTGCCTGGCAGCTGGGTGTTCTTAGGAGTACCTGGAACACAGCAGGTACTATATAAGTTTTGTTTTTGAAGTGAAGAGGGAGTTTATTTTTAAAAGTTACTATTTTTAAAATTAACTCTTTACTTTGTTTATTTGTTTGTTTTTGCTTTTTGAGACTGTGTTTCTCATAGCCCTGGCTATCCTGGAATTCATTCTATAGTCCTAGCAAGCCTCCAACTCAGAAATTCACCTGTCTCTGTGTTCTAAGGACTGGAATTAAAGATATCTCTGCTCAGCTAGCTTTTTGCTCTTAAAAAAGAAAAAAAAAAGTGTGTCTCTGTGTGGACATGTGTGGAGATCAGATCAGAGGGCAGCTTTTGGACATCAGTTCTCTCTTTGACCATGGCTTCTGGGAATGGAACTCAGGTTGGCAGGCTGACACAGCTGGTGCTTTCACCTGCAAAGCCATCTTGCTGTCACAAGAATGGGTTTAATGTGGGTGTAGGAGCGGGAATTAGGGAGGGAAGGCTCTCTGGAGACCTGCAGGACACACCCAGTGATGGCTGAAGGCTTCTTGAGATGGTCACGAGATTCATGTTTATGTTAACAGATTTTATAACGTTTACAAATCAGTTACCATTTATATGTGGACCGGGAGACTGACTGTTTTAAGATACCACTTTAATGGCACAGCATGTGCATGGCATGCTGGAAACTGTGCCAAGATCAAACACCTCTAAACCCTCCACATGTCCAGCTAGAGCCTCCATATCTCCAGCATTGCCTCTGTCCCTTTCCTGCAGAATGGCTGCTGTTCTGTCCTACAGGTGAGAAATGGGAGCTCAGAGGTCAAGTTCCTTGTCCCAGGCTTCTCAGAAGAGACCTGCCCCAGCCTTGCAGTGGGCCCTGTACACCCTGGGATTAGCTGAGCTGGCTGAACCAGCCCTGTTGACTGGAAGCAGACATCTGGGGCCAGTGCCACCCAACATCTGCTGTGTACCTGGGTGCCACAGATGAAGCGAGTAGAACTGAGGCCAGCTCCAAACTCTTCCAGAGCCTGCACACCTGCTTGGATCACCTCAGGGTGGCTACTCAGGCCCAAGTAGTTATTGGCACAGAAGTTGAGGATTCCTAGGGTGGAAAAGACCAACAATATGGCTCAGAAAAGAAAGGAAGGCCTGCAAGGACCACAGTGTCAGGCCCTGGGACAGGGGCCAGAGGGAAGTCAAACTTGGATTTGACCTTGAGAGGCAGACAGCTACACACATGACCCATTCTGGGGAGAGGCCAGAGACGTTGAAACCACTGCCACAGTGCAGAGGGTGAGAAGTTTGTCCCTCTCTGCCTTGAAGGATGAGATGTTTAAAACCTGGCTATAAGTAAGATCCCATATGAGAAGATCCAGACCTTCCTCACAGGTTCCAAAACCATCATCATCTTGGTTTTGCTTTTCTTGATTTTGAAAGAGGCCTAGGTCCTCCCGCTCTGATGCTCTCTCATCTGCTGCCCAGGTGTTGCATCTCCAGAGGGGTGTCTCAGAGATCTGTTATCAATCTTAAAAAGTTAATATAGTTGGCCCAAGGAAATTGAGGCCTGAGGAAGGGCAGCTCATGACCTGGGACCGGCACAGAGTCTAAGAACTTGGTTCTCTAAATGTCCCACTTTTTTCTTGACGTGTGAGTGCTGGGACCTGAACCCACAGCCTTGGGTGTGCCGGGCAAGCACTGTACCACTGAATCACACCCTAGCCTGCTGACTATCTCTCTGAAATCACACAGGGAAAGCAGTTTGGTCTAGCCTAAGGCTTTGTTTCACTCTCTAGTCCTCTTTAGGAGAAGACAGGCAGGACACAGGTACTTCTGCAGACCTGGTCCTCTTACTTGCTTAAACTTTAACCTCTCTGGTGGAAGCTGGCCTTCCACCCCAATATCCTGTGACATTGAAGCTAGCCAGTGTTTCTCCAGATTTCTGGGGAAATCTAGTTGCATTTCATCTTCTTCCTTTCTCTTTTATTTTTATTTATTTGTTTGTTTTTTGAGACAGAATTTCTCTGTTTAGCCCTGAATGCCCTGGAGCCCTATAGCTATGTCCAGGCTATCTTCCAACTCACAGAGATCTGCCTGATCTGCCCTCCTGAGTGCTAGGATTAAAGGCATGCTTCCTTTCAATGAGAATTGGTCTCTCTAGCCCCAAGGTGGTGGCAAAAACCTTTAATCCCAGCACTCTGGAGGGCAGAGGCAGGCCGATCTCTGAGTTCGAGAGCAGCCTGATCTACAGAATGAGTTCCAGGACAGTCAGGGTTACACAATGAAACCCGTTCTGGAAACAAACAAACAAAAAACTTTGTGGCACACCCCTTTAATCCCAGCATTGGGGAGGCAGAGGCAGGCGATCTATAGAGCAGATCCCAGGACAACCAGGACTCCACAGAGAAATCCTGTCTCGAAAAACTAAAGAAAAAAAAAAGAAGAAGAACTGGTCTGTCTCTTAAGCAGATTTCATCAGGAATAAAGGTGTAGCAACTGGTAGCTTTTACACACTGGGCTCAGTGAACGAATGAGGATTTTTGTCCAATCATTCTTTCTGGAAGCAGGGCGTAGGAGGCCAATGCAGCTGGATAGCGCTCTCTTTTTCTCACAGGGTTTAAACAGGTTTAAACAGGTGGAGTTAACTCTAGGACGCCATAGTGTGCCCGAGATAGACTGGAAAGAGCAGCTATGCATGCATGAGCCTTCCCCCCTACACCCACCCTAGGACCTCCATTCACATGCAAGGCCTGGAAGGGCTTGGCCACCTGGCCTGACACGATGACTCCCAGGAGGAGAAGTTACCTCCGGGGATATCATCCACGCGGACGCACGGTCCCTGGCGGGACGTGATCACTCTCTCACTCCTCCAGGTGCCAGCCCCGCGGATTCCTTCCAGCTCGCCCTCCACGATGCGGTGCAGCTGCGCCAACGCTGAGTGCGCGCGGCGGCCGGATGACAGGGTCGCGCGCCACACGCTGCTGACCCACATCGCGTCCACGAGATGGAATGAATGCGTGGGCCAGCCAACCGCCTAGCTCTCCCCGTCATGTGGGGTGGGCAGGGCCCCGACAGCCAATCAGAGCAAAGAGAGCTTTCTTTAAGAGGCTGGGGTGAAGAGGTCCCGCCGGCAGGCGGAGCCTGATGCCGCCTATAGGCGACGAAAGTTGATTTGTAAGGCAAAATCCAGGAGGTCCGCGCTGGGGGAGCGGCTTCAGGGCTCCCCAGACCCTGCCCACACACCTAGCTCTCCCGGGTAACGTGGCTAGCTGTGCCTCCTCCTGTCCTTCCAGCCTGAGGGTTCTGGTCTGTCCCCAAAGCTTCGCTTTTTCCAGGCGCTAACGTGGCGCCAGCTCTCCTTCACTTTACCCATCCTATTGCTACTCACTCTCCTCCAGTTGAGGAAAACGCACCACTCAGATTTTTTCCCCCAGTTTTATTATTTTAAAGTTTAAAATTACAACCACAGCAACTTTTTTCCAGCAATTATAACACTTGTTTAAAAAGGGGGAAGGGGCGCGAATTTCCTATTATTTTATTAAAATAATAGACAACTGTACAGGTTTTTTTTCTCCCAGCTCCCGAAGTTAGACTAAGTACTAGTCTTAGATTTGGATATATACATATACACACGTGCACACAATCCTGGCTCTCTAAAGCTACCTAGCAAATTCAAATCAACTGTATTGTCTTACAGTCCACTCCCTGCCTCTCCCCCTCCCTCAGCTACTCAGAAAAGGTTCAAAAGGTAAAAAGCGGTTGGAGGGGTTTTACGTGGCAGCTGGTAGAAATGAAGCTGCATCAAGCAAAGCCACATCTTATACAGAAAGGAAAAAGGAAAGAACAAGACCTCCTAGGACACAACTCATCAATCCTGTGGAAAAACCCAAGTTTCCACAGGCACACTGAGGCACTGGCTGACTCCCCCACCCTCCCACTAAATCCACTCCTATTTAACAAGAGACTGCTGAAAAGACCCCCCCCCCTTCCCCAATGGCTAGATCCTGATTGTGAGAAGCAATGGCTTCTCTAACCAGCTGTAACTTGGACCCCTTCCCCCTTCTAGACAATGGGGAGGCACCCCCAGGCCCCCCAACTGGTCACCACTGCTGAGGGCAGCCCAGGGATTTTCCTCCCTCCCTGGCAGCTAGGTGGGGTGTCACCCTCTGCTCTGCACCAACGATTCTGAAGCTCTCACAAGGGATGGATGGATGCATGAGCAACTTAAAGCCTTAAAAAGGCAAACTTCAGTTCCTAGGTCCCCTCATCTAGCCAGAACTTTACCAGTTCCATTTGCCTTAACAGTAAACAAACCACCCAACGAAACACCCACCCCAACCCCATAATGTTAAACATCAAATCAAGAAAAAAAAGTACATCTTCATCATTACAAAGATAATGTCTGTGGATGTCCTTGCACGATGGATTAAGGAAAAGAGAGAATCGTTCCACAAGTCTGTCTGAGGAATCGAAACTCTAGCCTTTTTGTAAAGTCAGAATAGAATGGGCAAAGGGTTGCAGATGAGATCAAGAGAGAAATGTATTTACAGACAACAGGAGGAAGAGTGTCACAAGCAGAGCCTTCCTTGTCACTTCTTCTTGCTGGCCCTCTTGGCACTTGACTTGGCTTTGGGCTTCACAGGTTTGGCCTTCTTGGGTTTGGTTGCCTTGACCGGCTTGGCTTTGACAATCTTGGGTTTTTTGGCTTTCTTGGGCGTGGCAGCTGGCTTCTTCTTGGCCTTCTTGATAGGGGTGGCGGCTTTGGGTTTCTTGCTTGGAGCTTTGGCGGCAGCCTTCTTGGGTTTGGCTGCCTTCTTTGGAGTGGCCACTTTCTTGACTTCCTTCTTGGTCTTCTTGAAAGCCACCGACCTCTTGGGCTCATCACCCTTGGCCAGCCTGAATGAGCCCGAGGCGCCCACCCCTTTGGTTTGCTTGAGAACACCGGTGGTCACCAGGCGCTTGATGGACAACTTGATCTGGGAGTCGGCGTTCTCACCCACCTTGTAGTGGCTCTTGATATACTTTTGGATGGACTGGCGCGAGGAGCCGGCGCGGTTTTTCTCTGCCTGGATGGCAGCCACGATCATATCTGAATACTTGGGATGGTCCGTGGACTTCTTGGAGGCCTTGGCCCGTTTGGGCTTCGCCGCAGGGGTGGACGTGGAGTTCTCGGTCATGGTGGCCGGCCTGCTCCTGCTGTTGAAGGAGCCTTCCGAAGGGCCAGCCCTCGCGGGAGGCTGGACACAGCCGGAGCCGGGATCTGCTCTCCCGCTCGACTAGCAGGCCAGACGAAAGTGTGGCTGCCGGGGACGCGGGCGACGCGTGGCTCCTGTCCTCCCTGGCGCGGGTCGCCGGCAGGCTCGCGGGTTGCTGTGTGCGGCCCAGCCCCCACCGCTCTGTCGCTCGTCCGGCGCCCGGCGCTGCCCTCCGCCTCCTCAGCCTCCCTTTTCCCAGCTCTGCGTCTGGCGCTCGGGCGGCGCATCCGGGTATTTAGCGGCGGCGGGCGGACCGCGGTGAGGACTGGGCTGCTGGCTGCCTGCTCCCGGCCCGGAATGGCGCCGCGCCGCCGCCATCTGTGTTTCTTCCGCCGAGCAAACCTGGCCTTTCCAGGCGCTCCAGGCCCTCCCGCTGCCCGCTGTCTCTCGGGGTCTCTGCCTGGTTCCCTAGGCTTCCCCGCTGGGGACCCAGGCGCCCCGGCCGCTGTCTCCCGCGCCCGCCACGAGCCCCAAACTGCGCCGAGGAGCGCTGGGGCGCCGGCACATTTCCCCTTTGCGGGGGACTGGCTCTGCGGGGCCCGGGAGCCCCTGGGCTTGAGACCCCCCATTGGAAAGCTCATCCCTGGGACTACCAGGGCTCCCATTCCCGGCCCTCTGCGGGGTCCCCCAACCTGGCGGAACGGCGCAGAAGCGACCCCAACTAACACACGCCGCCCCGAGCTGGGCGACTCCCAGCTGGGCCTAGTCGGGACAAGGGGGGAGGGGTCGTCTCCCCGGGGTCGGGTCACCACTTGGGGGTCACTCGGCCACAGGACCTCCAGCATCCCTAACCCCTTTCTAGCCCCGGAGCCCTCAAGGAAACTTTCCCTGGAAGAGTTGGAAGGGCCCTTTCAAACTTTGTCCCTTCCCCCTCTTGAGTCGCCTCTCCCCCTCGACTCGCCCCCAGATCGCTGCGTGGAGATTCCTGTCTGAGCCTGAGACCCCTGGGAGATAGGACTGGCTTCCTGGGTGCCCTGCTCTCCCCCACGTCTTCCATACATCGGAACCTAAGAGTTCATTTACATGCCTTCCTAGCTTGGGAGTTTTTGGGGTGTGCGAAGCAGAACCACAAGGCCCACCCTAGGGGGGTGAAGCTCCCCTCTCCCACTGGCCTCTTGAAAGTTAGGGTGTGCCTGATGGGGTGCAGTACACATCTTTGGCACTGTCTCATAGGCGCTGATCAGAGACTGTCCTCAGGGAACCCCTCGGATGAGCAGAGGCTCTCTATGCTTTGGAGATTTGGAAAAATGGGACAAGGAGGGAGTGCTTCTTTCTCTGGTCGTGACTTAGGTATGCAGTCGATCAGGTCGGGACCACCGCCATTTTGCTGGGAAGATTCCATGCCTTTGTTATAAAATGTATCCATTTTTCCAGCCCTGCTTGGCACGAATCCACGAAGTAGTGCGACCTGGGGCTGTTGAGAGCTCCAGGATCCTAGGGAAGAAAGCCTGGAAACTCTTGTCTGCAGTTTACAACTCCTCAAAATGTCAGGCTTCTGGTGTTCTTGCCTGGACCCCGGTGGTCTTATTAGCAAAAAGGCATATATCTGTTTAATTAAATAGTTACCTGGGGGTGGGTGAGTAGCAGATGTAGATGAACGAACCTTTGCTGAGGACTGATGGGGCTGTGGACTGTTTGTCACGCGGGAAAGGAGATTTTGAACTTGGGGGAGGCGTAAGGAGATCGCTACCGGGTTTGTGAGTCCCTGAGACTAGGGCAAGACAGTGGGCCTACCTCACCACAATACCACGGGTTAATCCAAGTAATTAGGGGAGGGGGGCATATCTAGGTGAAGTGCTGTCTGTCAAAGACTGCCTTAGTTCAAAAGGTCAAGTTTTTTTAATTCTGATGATGTCAGTGACCCTGAAGTTTCCTAATTTGAAAACACATTCTGGTAGGTTTGTTTGGGTTATTTTGAAAACCAGTTCTCTGGATTTCAATTAAGAACGTTCTGGAGAAGGCATTCAAATGCACTTACCTCCGAGACACTGTGCTGCTCTTCCCACCCTACTCCCAGGTGAGAGGTGAGAGACATTGAGTGTGAGGCTCAATTCCCACAGACCCCAGACTTTCATTTACTCTTACAGTTCAAACATCTTTACCTCCCAGAATATAAAGGCTGGGTGTGGGGGGTATTTCCTGCTGAGGCATGAGCTTAACAGCTCTACCTCCCCACCTTTCTGGGGAGTTAAGGGGAGAAGGGGGATTTTTCTTCGAGATGCGGAAAGGGTCAAGATGAAAGGGGCTCCCCCAGGCTAGCACTGAAGGACCAGGAAGGGGGCCGGGTGACTCCCGCCCGGCCCAAACAATGCCTTCACAGGTGGCTCTTGGGGCGGTCTTCTATCAGCCAGACACTCCTACCCATTCATCCCCACCCCCTACCGGACCAATGCTGGATTTAGGGAAAGGCCCTTTAAAAACCCCAGAGCTACAGCGCTGTGGCAGCCTTCCTGGGAAATGTAGTCTCTGTGTGGAGTCTTCCGGCTACCTGAGCTGCTTCTCATGGGCCAAAAAGGACTCTGCTGCCTCTGAAGTTAGTGTGGCAGAGAACTGAAGCCCTACAAGGAAAAACCTGTAAATCCAATTAGAGTGGGAATGACGGTCTTGTGGGGGAGGGGCCTTACTGAGCCCTTGACTATGAGATCTACTGGTTACACACAGGAGCCCTGAAAGGCTTGGTGGCTCTACAAGGGCGCTGGACTCCTCAGTCACTGTCCTTTCCTTCCACCTCCCGGGAAAACCCCTGGCTCATTACAAGCTCAAGATTCCTATTGTGCTGAGTGTGTGTTAGGCACTGAGAACAAAGCCATGAGCAAAAAAGACAAGCCTGCCTGTGTGGGGCTGATGCAGTAGTGGGAAATAGGAACTCAAGGAAGAAAATAAACAGGAAAGATTGAATTCACTGGGTGGGTATAGTGACGCCCACCTGTAATCCCAGCATAGGGGAGGTTGAGGCAGGAGGATAGTGGAGAGTCTGAGGTCAACCTGGGCTACATAAATCCTGTTTCCAAAAAAGGAAAGACAATGTTATGTGTATTGGGAAGTGATGATTATGGACGAGTAGAGGTTCTAGGAGGGACCTGGTGTTCGCCACCAGTGCCCCAGAAAGTGTGCTTTTTTTTTTTTTTTTTTTTTTTTTAAGCAGCCAACATCTAAGCAAATATTTGAAGGAGGCAAGGAAAGGAGCCATTCCTATTAGAAGAGAAAGACTCTTCCCTGCAGAAGAAACAGTCAAAGCAAAGGACATGTGGCAGGAATGTGCAGAGTGGCTGCTGAAACAAGGGCAGTGGGAACAGGTGAGTTAAACCATCTGAGGAGGTGGCTGAGGAAGGAGGAACATCCAGGGTTTTGTGTGTGCATCTAGGACTCTGGCTTTAATGAGGTGGGGGCCGCTGGAGAGACATGACCTCACTCACAGTCAACTGTAGCTGTGTAGCTGTAGAGACAGAGGCAGGACAGGGAGGGGTGGCAGGCATCCAGATGGGCAGAGTGAGCAGTAGTAGAGGCAGTGGGGTGCGCGTGTGCGCGTGCCCGCGTGTGTGCGTGTGTGTGTGCGCGCGCGCGTGTGTGTGTGTGTGGGGGGGGGTCAGGTAGAAGCTGACACCAGATACTGTGAAACAGAGCAGGGAAGGGCCAAGGTGAGTGGGAGGGACATGGGGAGGGGTGATGGTGGATGAGAAAGGAGACTGTCACAGACGAAAAGAGGCCAGTCATATCAGATGTCACCAACCAGGGTAGCGGGGACATAATCCACCCTGTTGTACGGTGAGTACCATCCAGGAGATGAAAGTTGTGAACAAGGGTCCCCAGAGTCTCTGAACTTATGTGGGATCAAAGTTCATCATCTACCGTTCACATGTCTGTCCTTCTGAGATAAGAAGCAGGACAGTGCTGAGGTGATGGGACAGGAGGGCCTGAGGGAAGGAGCTGGACTTTGGAGGACCAGAGTAAGGCTCACATAGGACCACCACAGCAACTCCACAGCTTGGGCAGAGCCTGTCAGTGGGAAAGTGGGGGCTGTAGAGATAGGGGGCCTGGAAGGGCAGTAGCTGAGGAAATCCAGCAGAAAAGGAAACAGGGAACAAGAGGGGAAGTGTGAATGACATGGGGCAGTGTTTTGTAGGGATTTCTGGCTGTTGTGAGGGACAGAGCTGTAGCAGGGGTCAAGGGAAGCAGGGGCAGGGCAGAGAAGAAGAATCATGCAAAAGGGCAAAGTGTTAAGTTTGTGAGGTGAGTAGGGGAAACCTGGCAGTTTCCAGGTGTTACACATGTCAGGATGTGGGCCATGGGGGAAGGGACCTGCTGGAGAGCTCCTAAAGGAGGAGTCCCCTTAGACCCCAATGCAAGACTCCCCAGGGAGTGGCTGGAACTGCAAAGTATCCAGCAAAGTGAGCTCTCCAGGGAAAGCGGGCTCAGCAAGGATGCCAGGGAAACAGTCACCATGACCTCCAATCTCAGGAGCAGATAAAAGCAGGGGAGTCCATCTCAAAGGACACGGTAGGGGTCAGAAAGCCAGCATGAGCTGCTCCTAGTTGCCTAGCATGGACCCCTCATTGGAAAAGTCTTACTGTCCTCTCAGCCCTGCCTATCCAGCACTCCTGCTACCCCTCTGACTTGCCATGACTTCACTGGTTCTCACTGGGGTTGGTTTTGCACCTCCAAGGAGTGTTTGGCAATGCCTAAAACAGAGAAGTGAAGTAACTGCCCAAAGCCATAAAGACCTAGCACTCAGGAAGGCCCTGGAGGTATCCTTCCTCCCATTGCAAAAAAAAAAAAAAAAAAAAAAAAAAAAAAAATGTGTTGAATGATCACCACTGTTCTGAAGTAAGAGATTGCTCATCAAGTTTTCTCCAATAAACCCGTGGATTTGAGTGTGTCTTCCAGTGGGCAGAATCCATATCACCAAAAGGAAGAAAATGTTTGGATTTTTCTTCCTGAGTCAGGTCTCTTTAAAATGATGGCCATAGGGGCTGAAGAGATGGCTCAATGGTTAAGAGCACTGGCTGTTCTTCCAGAGAATCTGGATTTGATTCCCAGCACCCAC